TCAAGTGGGCTCTTTGTGGGCATTGACCCATATCTGTCTGTCTGTCTCAGCATTGTCCCTAGATATATACTGGCTTCTTTTGGAAGAGATAGCTCCTTGACAAAGCCATTCCTTTTGCTCTATGACCTACAGAACTGTAGGTGTTGACGTGAACGATAAGCACTAATAATAGCAATGCTGGTAATCCACTAAGGAAACATTTGGTGAGTCACCATTTAATGTGTGTCCAGTGTTTCAACTTGGGTATAGAAATCAATCAGGTTGTTTCTTATATGAACTTGACTATGAGGTTTGTCAATCCCCAGATTCACAGTCAAGGAATAAGCAAGTATTGCTGAATTCTTTCCCCACTTTTAACTTTGGAACAACTTCAGTCTAGTAGAATGGAAAGAGTACTACTAGCTGTACAACAGGCATCCAAAGACTTCATCCAAGTGGGGCCACCTGTCTTAGTGAGATCCCTTATCACCTGGGGTCCCATCCATGATCACCACAGTATGTGGTCATCTTGCATATTCTGGAATAGTTCTTCCTTCCTTCCTCTAGTTAGCTGGTCATGTCTTTTTTAAATTTACCAATAACTGTGAGTTTTCTGACACCGTAGAGTACATGATAGCTTGCTCCCTTGGCTTCTTTGTGCCTGTCTTCTCTGATAGTATGAAGGTAATAAATTCTATCAGCTTAATGCATTAATTGTTCAATTAGCCTATATATGGTCAAGCTAGCAACATAGTACTGCCTTCCCATGTTTTTGTAACATGTATCATTGTTTTTCTTGAAATAGTGGAAAAAGAAGGATGGGAGAAGAAAGAAGAGAAACAGGAAGCTCAGAAAGCTGCATTTGTTCTTGGAGATTTATTTATCTTTTATTGGAAAGTCAAATATACAGAGAGGAGCAGAGACAGAGAGCAAGATCTTCCATCTGATGATTCACTCCCCAAGTGGCCCCAACATCCAGAGCTTAGCTGATCCAAAGCCAGGAGACAGGATCTCTTCCAGGTCTCCCACACGGTTGTAGGGTCCCAAACTTTTGGGCCATTCTCAACTGTTTTTCCAGGCCACAAGCAGGGATCTGGATGGGAAGTGGGACTGCCAGGATTAGAAGCAGCACCCATATGGGATCCCAGTGTGTTCAAGGAGAGGACATCTATTGCTAGGCCACCGTGCCAGGCCTGCATTTTTAATTAATTTTGGAGTTGGGAATTTTATAGATTCTGTATTTGTATTATAATATAGAAGTTTTGTGAATTAAGATTTTTTTTTTCTGTTTCAGGTCATAAATCTGTACTTATGTTTAACCTTTATACATCTCACAGGCATTAGGAATGCAATGATTAACAACACATGGTATGCAAAGAGCTCAGGTGATGGCAAGCAGACAGAAATGTCAACAGCTCCTGCCAGCATGAGCGAAGTTCTAGAAGAGGAATACAGAGTTTCTGGAGCACAGGGGTTGGAGATCTTCTTTCCACCCATGCAGCTGATTGGCTAGCCTTGTCATTGAGGGCTACTCGGTGCTTGGAAAGGTCAGTTTTTGAATTTTGGCTTTTTCTGTAACTCTGTTCTTCCCTCAATCCCCTAGTCAGTGTTCTTTAAAGAAAATTATTTTTCCTGATACATTTCCTTAGGCTCAGGAATTTTCCTTTCCACCTTCTCCACCCACCTTCCTCCCACTGTTTCCCCCTTTTATTACAAAGTATAGTCCTTCAACAACAGTCCCAAGTCCATCATTCTGCTATTCAACTGTATCATGACAGTGTCGGTACAGACAATGGCAGAGTCCAACATTCTACTGTCGGGATGTATTTGATAGTTTCATTGAGAGTCCATCTTTCATTCAGAAGTCGAGATGCATACTGCATTGCATCTTCATGGCATACTTTCCTCCATTATACAGTTTCTCTAGGTAAATATATGTATATACACACTTACCTATGTTGTATCTATCGATCTTACATTTTGCACGAAAGTCACCTTACTTCAGAGAAAACATGATATTTGTCCTTTTGGGATTGGCTTATTTCACTGAGCATAATGGTCTCTAGTTGGGTCCATTTTGTTGCAAATGGTAGAATTTTACTACTCAACCATTAAAAAGAGTGAAACTCTTCCTAGTCTTTCTAAAGCATGCCCATACAGTTCAGAGCCAGCAAAGGTCCACTTCATGATCAAGGCAGATATCGAGTAACAGAAAGCCTGCGGTTTTACTAATCCCACTGAAGAACCTAGGTGTTTCCTGCTTTTGTGATTTCTGCCTTACTTGCTTGGCTGGGAGCTGTGTGAACTCCAGGCCTGACATTCTACATGACAGCCGGCAGGACACCTGGCAGGTCACGGAGGCAGAGCACTCCTCAGGAAGGAGGTCCCTGGTGTTAGATAAGACCCACTGCCCTATAGCCCATCAGTTCGTACTTTTTGAAAGTTGCTTGCTTCAAACCCAGTAACAGAAGCTTGCCAACTTGTTCTTTTTAAAAAAAAAAAAAAAGTTAACAGTTACACTGACCAATCATGACTGTATGATTATATGGAATTGGCCCGAAATGTATAAGAACCCTGTGCTATTGAATCTCTGTCTTTTTGGACCTTCTTCTGCCTCTTCTGCTGCAATTTTTCCTGCTTTGGCCACTTTGGCGGTGGCCACTGCCGGGGCGACTGTTACTGCTCCCCTATCCTGCTGGGCTAGGAGCCTAGGCTAGTTTTGAATAAACCACCTTTATGCATTTGCACTGACTTCAGACTCCTGATGATTTTCTGGGGATCACACAAACCCTGGAACAACACCACTCCCAAAGGGTGGGACCTTTAGCAGATTTTGAGTGTAACTTCCAACTTGCTAGTGCATCCAAGTCTTATCACCCTTAACACCAAACAAATCCTAATACTGTGTATTTCCAGCTATGCTTTTGAAACCACTATCAGACAGTAATTTATGTGCATATCTACCCTGTCATTATGAACAGGTGAATGACTTGAGTTTGTATTTTGTGGCTGTCAGTTCATAAAATGTCACTAAGACGTGGTTACTGAACATTTGCACACTACAGAGTTGTGGATTGGTCTTCGCAGCCTCTCATTGTGAGTCGTTGCACCATGGCTTCCAAGGAAGGCAATCAGGACACGTGTAGAAACTGGTCCAATTAAGTGGAATAAATAGATCCATATTAATGAATCTGAACCTACTTCCTGCACCCACACCATGTGAGGGATGAACATTCTCTTATGTAGTAACTGAATCACAGATTCTGCATTGTGAAGCCCATGAGGCCCTCTTAACACAACCTTCTAAAAGTGGAGATAATTTTGACAGAAGAAAAATTTATAAAGTAAGTGCATTCTTCAAGACACCAAAAAAACCCATCAATAATACAGCATAAATCTACTGTCTGCCTTTTCCTCTGCATTATAGAAATGGACAATACTTTCAATAGAATACACGTACCCCCATGCCTTCCTAATTGTATATTTTTAAAGATTTATTTATTTTTGTTGGAATATCAGACTTACAGGGAGAAGGAGAGACAGAAAGGAACACCTTTTGTCCACTGACTAACTCCCCAAGTGACCGCAATGACCAGAGCTGAGCCAATCCAAAGCCAGGAGCCAGGAGTCAGGAGCCTCCTCTGGGTCTCCCACATGAGTGCAGGGTCCCAAAGCTTTGAGCCTTCCTTGACTGCTTTCCCAGGCCACAAGTATGGAACTTGATGGGAAGGGGGCACCCAGGACATGAACTGGGGCCCATATGGGATCCTGGCACATAAAAGGCAAGAACTTTAGCCACTAGGCTGTCACACTGTATATTTAATATATACATCTAATATATATATTTCTAACTGTATATTTTATATTACAGCTATATTGTTTAAACTAGGCACTTTTATCACCTGTTACTGAACTCCTTTGTACACGTGTAATGAGAGCATGGTTATGAAAAGGAAAATTTAGGCTAGAGGAATTTAATTTGCTTTTTTTGCCTTCTGTACTTTGCTTGCTCTTGCCTTCTGTACTTTGCTTTCTGAAAAAGACAATAGATAGCTGAACCAACATCTCTAACTGGACAAACATCTCACGACTTAGATAGAGCCTGGGAACCAGAGAGAGATAAGGGGCACCTGTGGCTGCATCCGGATTAGGTCATTAAAAAAGTCTTGAGACAAGCATCTCAGGGAAGAAGTATGATAAGGAATTGAGGGCACAGTGGAAAAGACCCTAATTGCATGGCAAGACAAGGGTCTTTTATGGCCCCCTTTCCTGAGTATGGTTTTTAGCCTTTAAAAGGAATGCTGAATAAAGCCTCGGGGTTGGTGTGCCTAGCCTCCTGCATGGGGACAGGCCCCAGCCCCAGCACACTGGTGATCGAATAAAGCCTCCTGCTTTTGCATCAAGTCTTGTCTTCGTTGGTCACTGGGGAGACTCACTCTCTCGGGGAAGGACGGTAAGGTCGTCCTGTTTGGGGATGCCTTACAGTTACTGGGGCAGGTATTGCTGCAGAGGGTAGCATCTGCATGATAAAACCACCGGGTTGCTTCTTGACTGAGGGACACAGTGTTCTCCTTAGCACTTACATTTTCACAGGCAGTTAGGGAAACTCAAAATGTCCCAGTAACCACACGAAAGAATACTGGCATCTGGGTAAAGGCAAAAACTTCAGAGCACTGACGGGTGATTTGCCCACTGCCACTCTTTCCTAAAATTTGTATTTGGAATGCGAAGTTACAGAGAAAGAAGGATAGACAGAGCTCTTCCATCTGCTGGGTCACTCCTCAAATGGCTTTCATCACAGAAACCTGGAAAATACTCCAGGTCTGCCACATGAGTAGGAGAGTCCAAGGACTTGCACCTTCTTCTGCTTCTCGATGCCATTACCAGGTAGCTGGATCAGAAGTGGAGCAGCAGGAACTTGAACCTTCACTCATATGAGATGCGGGTGCTACAGGTGCAGGTTTAGCATATGATGCCACAGTCAGCCCCACACTAATCAGATTAAACAGGGTTGCAGGAAATAGTTCATAAGTACTTTGTATTATCGCCATCACAGATGATTTTAAAATAATGACGAAGTGCCAGCTAAACCAGTCATTTGACAAGCATTTACTGAAAGTGCTTGAGAAAACATCAGTAATGATGACGCTACCAAAACATAGCAGGCTAGACTTGCCTCTGAAATGTGCATGCCTCTTGCATAATGCATTTCATGTGCACACCGTCAAGACCAGGGAGGAATATCCCGTGATGGGGTTTAAGGAGCTCTTCATCCACAGATCCGTTGGCTAATGATATTCTAAGTCAATCTGACAGGCAAATGAGTTCCACTTGCTTTAAGATGTGTGGGAATTTTCTACTTCACATGAAGTTGGTACCTTTCCTTTAAATGGCTTGAGAGTAATCTCCCAGTGTGTTTTCTTATCTTCTGTGGAATGCTCAGTATGTAGTTCTCTAAGCAGGTGAAATGAAATCCCAGCAAGAGACGGATTTTGAAATGCAGCAGTTGCATAAGCCTAGTGCTCATCGTTGCTTTACTTTACTGGCATGAATATAATGTAAAACAGATGAAATTATGAGTTGGTCAATCAGTTCCTTCACCTGACCTTTGGCCCTGCCAAACCTGCCTTCCAGGGTTTCTGGTACACGCCATTTGTCGGCGTGACTTCACGCCTTTCTCTGCAGTCTGCTTGAGAGCATTTGTAGTATTGACTCCTGGCATTCTGTCCATAGTGGATTTTCATGGAGGCCTTCCCCAGCCTCCCAGCCGAACAGGTCTCAGACAGTGTTGCCAGCTAAAGTACAGGAAGCTGAGTTAACCTTGACTTTCAAATAAAAAGAAAAAAATTTTTTTTGTCACAATGTTTCTCAAACATCACATAGGATGTATTTCTACACAATATGTATATATATATATATATATATATACACACACACACATTTTTTTCATTGTTGATCTGCATGTCAATTTCACTCAGCCTCCTGTGTTGTGGTTTGGGGAGCCTGACAGTCCTCCTTTAGTTGATTTCTATTATAAATCTATTATAAATTATGAAAACGCTGTTCTCATCTTCTCCAAGCATGCACTGGGTATTGGCTCAAGGATTTAATCCTGCTCTGGTTTAATGCTGTCCACTTCACTGTCCTGGATGACCCCTGACATCGAAGCTCCGGCTGCCTCGTCCCTGTTGTCTCCCCAGACTGTGGCCCTCCGCCTGGTGTATTCCGGACGCTGACGGCGCAGCCCATTCAGCGTGCCACACACTGCCCCGTGTGCTCTTCAGGGGCCCCATCCAGTTACTGGGTGAGGGTGAACTCACACACAGGGGGGCCGCGCTTGCAACTGACGTAGTCGGTTTGCCTCTACTTGTCTTTGGAAAAATCCTCACCTTGCATGGAGTTCTATCATAACCTTAGAGACAGCGCTGCTTGTTCTGCACTGCTTCCCAAGGTTTGGAATAAAAAGAGCCGTGTGTGTGTTTTCAACCTTTTCCCAACGCTTTAAAAATTGCAGGATCATACAATTTTAACTTGCAGAGGACTGTCAACATATCAGGTAGTCCTAGAGGTCCATTTAAATGTATATTGGAGAAAAACTTCACAACAGAGCTTCTATCATTACACTTTTTGGTGAATGTCGTATTCTATGTAAAAATTAGATTTTAAGAAAATTTGCTCTTACTGGGCTTGCAGGTAGTTTAAGAAAAGTGAATTCGATATAGTGTTTCTGATTCATGTAATCCATTTCTTTTTCTCTTAGTATGTGCTTCTTGGAATTTAAGTTCCATGGAACATTGATCCATAGCAGGATATAAATATAAGACACATAAGAATTCTCTGTATCTCCCTTGGGTTGAATTGGCTGAAGTGGCGTGGAGGCCACTGAGGGAAACCCAAACACAGCAGCTCTGTGAAGAATCCGATCAGAGCAGCCTGGCTAAGAAACCGCGACCTGTTGTAAAACCTGGCGTAGAGGCAGAGTGGGGGATGTGTTGGGGGCTTGGCAAGGTCTCCGAGCCACGCCACCCACTGACATGATCTCGGTCACTCAGCTGTGGGTGAAACATGTAGCAGGATGTATTGCGTCCCTCACACCTCCCTCCAGGGCGCAGGGACGCTTGGAGCGTCTGCAGCCTTGCAGCCCTTGGGGACTGGGGCCATTCCAGTCTCCAGCACGTCCCGGGGTCTTCCGCGTTCATGGTGTGGCCCGGGGAGTGTGTGTGTGTGTGTGTGTGTGTGTGTGTGTGTGTGTGTGTGTGTGTGTGTGCGCGCGCGCGCACTCAGGCTGGGTGTGTGAGAAAGAGAGAGAGAGAGAGAGAGAGGGAGACACAGAGAGAGAGAGAGAGAGAGAGAGAGAGAGAGAACGATCAGGGTACGAGCGCGTGCGTGTGTATGTGTGATGTGTGTGCGCGCGCGCGCCCGCGCGCGAGCTAGCCTTCCGACTTCTCCGGAGCAGCTTCCTTTCCCACCGCTTCCCGCTGAGTCAGTGCCCTGCCGATTGCCCTGCAGGATCCGAGGCCTTTGTGCTCCGGTTATTTCGCTTGTTAGCAGAGCCCCACCCTTGCGCCGCAGGAACAGAACACGCTGTCCTTCCCTGAGCTGACTGCCCCGAGCGCACGGCCACGCGCTGGGCCAGGGGCCCCACGTGTGCTTCTCTGGCCGAGCCGTGCTGCTGAGGCTTTGGCTGACGGGCTCCACAGTGTAAACCAGCTCGAGATCCATTTATTACCAAAAAAGGAAAGTTTAACAACAGGAAAAAAAAAAAAAAAACCCTGCTATCATGCTTCCCTTACACCCACACTCCCAACCACCACCACCCATGCTCACTTGGAGCTGAGGCTCACCCGTTTGTGTTAAGACAGTCTGTGGCTCCTGATCTGCACAGCCCTGGACGAGTGCCCCCACAGTGTCACGTCCGGAGGGTGGGGCTGACCTGCTGCAGCGGCTCAGGCTTCCCATCTCAGAGCCATCCCCCTCTGAAACTTCAGTCCTGTTTTATTTAGCCCCTTAATACGATATAAGTGCTACTATTTTGTCTTGGATTTTAATAATAGATGATAATAATATAATATTATGTCTCGCACTTAATATATGATAATATTATGTCTTGAACTTAAATAATACAAAAGTGTCTCTTATTAGTTAAAGTTTACAGGGATATTCCCATTTCATTCTGGGTGTAACTGCATGAGATGTCAGGAATCTTTGTCACCAATGAGGGCAGAGAGGCGTGGCTGTTTTACATCTCCAGACATGGGTCACCCGTCAGATACTGGGAGCACCAGGATTCCACCAAGCCCTAGTGGTCCCCCCCCCCCCCCGCCCCGAGTTCAAGATCTTCACCACACAGAAGCCTTCGCAAGAGGAAAGGCTTGTGGTCCCATCTGGTCAACGCAGGAAGCCAGAGGACTTGCGTGGATGGGCAAGCACTGGCTGTTTTTATTTGGACGGGGATGGAATGCGAATGGATATCATGGGGCAGTTACACACCTTTCTCCGCTGGTCCAGCGAGCTGCCCTCTGGCCGCATGAGCACAGCGCCCCTGCCTACTGTACCGCCTCCAGCCTTCCTAAAACAATTTGGGACATAATTTTTGCTCGAGCCAAGCAGAGCTTATTGAAATCCGCTTTTATACATGGAGACTGCCTCCCACAAACTATCATCCATCAAACTACATCCTAACTCTTCTGTAAACTAAATCTAAAAAACAAATAAATAAATAAGCTATGACATTTTTTCTAGAATTCATGCCTGAACTAATCCTCTCAGTTTCAATTCATAGGAAAATGCATAACCTATTTATTCTATTTTCTTTTTCTTTAACAAATCCTTGTTGGGTCTGTGTGATTTTATGAACATTTGATCTATGTATGCTGATGAATTTTTTTCAAAATTTGTTTATTTTTATTGCAAAATCAGATACATACACAGAGGAGGAGAGACAGAGAAATACCTTCCGTCCGGTGATTCACTCCTCAAGTCACCTCGATGGCCGATGCTGCGCCAGTCTGAAGCCAGGAGCCCAGATCCTCTTCCAGGTTTCCTACGCAGGTGCAGGGTCCCAAGGCTTTGGGCCGTCCTTGACTTCTTTCCTAGATCACAAGCAGGGAGCTGGTTGGGAAGTGGGGCTGCCGGGATTAGAACTGACAGGCATGTGGGATGCTGGCGCGTTCAAGGCAAGGACTTTAGCCACTAGGCCACTGTGCTGGGCCCTGATGATCTTTTTTTAAAGAGTTGTCTTATTTTTATTTGAAAAGCAGATTTACCGAGAGAAGGAGAGACAGGGAGAGATTTTTCATCCCTTGGTTCACTCTCCAAATTGCCCCGATGGCTAAAGCTGAGCCAATCCAAAGCTAGGATCCAGGAGCTTCTTCTGGGTCTCCCTCGGGCTTGCAGGGTCCCAAGGAATTGAGCCATTCTCCACTCCTTTGCCTGGCCGTTAGCAGGGAACTGGATGGGAAGTGGGAGACAGGTGGCACTCAAACCAGTGCAGGTGTGGGATGCTGGTGCTCATAGGTGGAGGCCTGTGGAGCCACCGTGCCAGCTCCAGGGTATTTTTATGTTTTCATTCCCCAAACTTCAGATACTAGACTTTAACATCAGTGAAAAATCAATGCAAATATCATTACTTTAAGACCACAGATTTTTAGTGTTAATTTTTTTTTTTTTGCATTTTTACAGTTCGGCCCTGGTTTGCATGTGAGCTGATTTGGAAACCCTGTTCTCTTGGAGTCATTCTTCTCGTTTATTTGCTTCACTTGCTGTTCCTCGTGGTGTCCTTTGCCAGTTTTCGCTCCTCCACCCCATCACTGAATGGTGCAGCTTTGGGCTCGCTTGTGCATCCACTGTCTGGTCTCACAATTTTAAAACCATAAGCCAAGTGCAAAAAGAGAAATGGCACATGTTATTGCTCACCTGTAGAAGCTCAGACAGCTTATTTTAAAGAAGGAAAGGGTGGAATAGCTGTCATTGGAGGATGCGAAGGAAGGGCAGTACAGGGATGTTGGAAAAGATTCCAAAACGCAGTTAAAATAATTCCCCAAATGTGCAGGAATAGATTCCAGTGTTCTGCAGCACGGAAGGATAATGATAGTTTCCAACAATTTATTATATCATTTGCAATATATACAAAACATGTAAAGAACTACAAAAGAGGAATGTGAAAGCTTCCAACGAAAGCATGAGCGCTTCAGGAGATGGAAATGATCATTATCCTGATAGGATCACCACACGTTACATACACACAGCGCATTACCGCACTGTACCCAAAAGTATGTACAATTACATCAGTGAAAATTAAAAAAGAATGTGCGAGGGCCTGGCGGTGTGACCTAGTGGCTAAACTCCTTGCCCTGAACGCCCCGGGATCCCATACGGGCTTCGGTTCTAAACCCGGTAGCTCCACTTCCCATCCGGCTCCCTGCTTGTGGCCTGGGAAAGCAGTCGAGGATGGCCTAAAGCTTTGGGACCCTGCACCCGTGTAGGAAATCAGGAAGAAGTTCCTGGATCCTGGCTTCGGACTGGCATAGCATCAGCCATTGAGGTGACTTGGGGAGTGAATCATCAGGTGGAAGATCTTCCTCTCTGTCTCTCCTCCTCTCTGTATATCTGATTTTCCAATAAATAAATAAATCTTTAAAAAAAAAAAAGAAAGAAAGAAAGAATGTGCATGCTGCTGTGTCGGAAGTGTTTGTTTCCAGCCCTATTCCACCTGTCTGATCTGCATCTCCCTTCCTGCATTTAAGACGAACGCAGGGCCTTTAATACACTTTCTGAACGGTTTCTCTCCGTCTCATGTATCTTAATCCATGTCTACGTTGCTCCTCATGCTCCCTCTCGGTCTCTTGTGAATACAATGTCCATTCCTCTTTCACTCTTCTCCGCCATAGACTGGCTTCTCTGCTGGGCATCCCGTGCCTCCCGGCGCTAGGGGCTGGGTCTGAAGCCCAGCTCCAGTCACTACATGTAGTCTAGCCCACAAGGGCCGGCCAGGAGCAACTGTCCTGAACAGGTTGAAAATCCTTATTTTCTACTCAGGCCCCAAGCCTCGTTTGGGGTGGGTGATTTTCAGGGAGGACAGAGGTCAGGCTGTTAGCAAGATGCTGACAATACAATCTGATCAGACTTTCCAAAGTCTTTATTTCTGTGATGCTCTTTTGCTGGAACACTCGTGTAAGGAATCAGAAAGGATTGCGTTTTCATCAGTCATGTCTATTGTCCAAAGCTTTATTTTTCTGCTTCACCATTTTTTTAATTTTTACATTCTTATTAATATCATGAGAACATAGTTCATGTATTTCGTAGTAGAGTTCATCCTTAGAAGATAACCATAGTCTATTCTCTCCGTCCCTTCCTTGTTTGTCTCTCTTTCCTCCCTTTCCTTAATTTTGACAAAAGCATCCTTTCCGTTTAATCTCTAATCATAGGCTTAATCACCGCTAACCGTAATATTCAACAGTCAAAAGCAAAAAGACCATAGGTTCACAGGAGTGCAAAAAAGGGCTGGGAAACAAGTCGCGAGGTGTCCATTTTATTCACATACATTTTATTGTGTGTATGTTCTAAAATAACTACCACACACCAGAGGAAAATCCTTTTTTATTTGTTTTTGGGGCACTGGCTTATTTCACTAAGCAGAATTATTGTCATTTCCATTATTTTATAGTAAAAGACAGGATTTTATTTTTTGCTGCGGCTGAGTAGTATTCCGTAGTGTGTATATACCATGCTTTGTTTATTCAGTCATCAGTTTTAGACAGCACAGTTGATTCCATATTGTACGTTGAGCCGCAGTTAGCATGGGGTATCAACAACTTTTTCATATGCCAATTTTGTGTTGTTTGGTTAAATTCGCAGGAGTAGAATGGCTGGGTGATACGTAAGTCTATTTTCAGATGTCCGAGCAATTATTCTTGGACTCCGTGGTCTCCTTTCTCTAGTTTAGATGACACACACGTGTCAAGCAGGCTTTCAGAAGTGTGATAGCTCAAACATCTTGAATTCTACCAGATCTATGAGCCTGGGTCTTCAAGGGTGAGAAGAGCAAGCAGAAAAGGAGAAGCCATCCAGTGAGGGACGAAAAACAGCGAAACTTTTGATTCTGATCATTCTGAAAAATGATAACGAGTTACCCTTCCCAGGTTCTTTAGCCATTCTAAGACTAGCACCTCACGGAAGGTGAGCCCGATTATGTCCTATCATCTTTTTCAGAGAAAGTGACATTTTTGCCAAAGAAGAGGGAAGGACTTCTGTCTTTGGGAAATGGAATGATTCCGCTCACTTCTCACCACTGAGAACTTGCAGTAGCCATTTTCAAAAGGAATGTACTTAGTTTTTGTTTTTGGCTGGGATTGGCCTTCCTGTGTAGCAATGTGGCTATTTCCACGTAATAAGTAGGTGATCATTATGGAAATCCCCTTTAAACACTCTTAATGAGCTTGTGCAATATCACACCCAAAACTTCCTGAAGAATGCTTACAACACGGGATAATGACACGATGTTTTTCTGTGGTATTATTGTCACTTTAGAAAGCATAAAGCAATTGCTCATTGCTTCACAGGATAAACTTTGCCCTTGCCATTCTTCATGGATTGATTTTTTTGGTCTATTTCATTAGGGGATTTTTCACATGATAGCTAAGATTTTTTAGTTACACGAATCATTTTAATGCAAAAATACAACTGCAATTCTGTTACCTTTTCCCCTTTATCCCAAACTACATGTCAAAATCAGGGAAAACAGGACTTTCACCATGGTAGATATTCACAATTATATGAAAGCTAAAGAACAAAGAAAATTGCTATAAAGTATTTATGTGCCAAGTAGATAAAATGCATTTCTCTTTATGAATGCTCTTCCCGCCATAGTCTTCGGTGGCGTAACAAAGACTACAGAAGATTCTCACCAGGCTGTTGCTCAGCCTCCTTCCTTGCTTTGTCCAGTGGTCTTCCATTGTTGGAAATGAGTGAGGAAGAAGGGAATCACAGATAAGGCTGCAGGACTTTCTCAGGGGGCAGAACCATGAACTC